TATGACAGGAAGGGACCGGGCCAGATTGCGTGAAGTAACCCCTTGTACACGCACGGACCTTTTGTCAATCCTCTACTGCAATTATTCCTAACCTGTGGCAAGAGGAGGCCAACCAGTGGTTCGCCAGGCCACACGAATTAGGTTGTAGAACTGATGCAGATAATATTTTATTCTCAAACCCTAAATGCTGTCTGCAGGGTGAACAGCGAACACTGCTTGACGGTTGGCAGTCGTCCTGCTGGCCCAAAATGGTTGAGAACCACTGATCGACTGGCTGAGGGCCTCTGCAGACACCCGGCAGGTCCTGCAGACACACGGCAGGTCCCGCAGACCCCCGGCAGGTCCTGCAGACACACGGCAGTTCCTGCAGGCACACATGGCGATGTGGTGTGTATGGAGGCCGGGACCCGGTGATGCGGTGGGAACCCTAAACCGGTCTCTGCTGAGCTCTCGCGTCGCCGTAAATCGGCTTTAGAAATAAAAAAGCGGCGGCGGCGCTTACGGCTTTCACTGTGCAGCCGCGTGGTCGATCCTGCTTACGGGAAACGCGATCGCGGTGGGGGTCACCGCGCCGCCGCCACCGACCACCGCTACTCAAATCACAAAGCAGCATCGGCAATGCCAGTCGCCACCATGGCCAAGACTGCCACTAGCAATCAACAAACGCACACCAAACAACAGCATCAGCAACAACAGCAGCGACAACAGCACCACGCGAGGATTGTGGGCGGCTAGGCCTCGTGCTTTGGGGGCAACCGGCGATGACCCCTAGGAGCCCAAGGTCACCAGCCTTGCTTGACTACGTTAATGAACGGAGAGCAAGCAAGAATAGATCAAAACACTCAGCTTTAGTTTTGTGAATTTGAGTGAACTCGAGGTGAACGCTTCCCTCTTGGTCACAGGGCACACACATCTGCTCTCTTCATATAAAACACACACAATGCGTTCATTAATGGGACCTGTACTTGTTCGGGGGGATTATTTAGCAGATAAGATAAGTAGCTCTTAGAGACGGAGGATTAAACGGAGATCGCTCATTAAGCAGGCGGCCGGCCCCCTATTCTGCTCAGGAGTAGCCATCGATCTGGTGGTGGCAACCCTGCAGTGACCCCCAGGGCCCCTGAGTGACCCCCTCGGGGCCCTGACAGCCGCGCGGTTAGACAAGGAGACGTAAACCGTGACCGTTTACGAGCGGCGGTGATGGGTGACTACCCCATCCTCCACACCCCTGAATTCACAGTGCGTCCAGGATCTTTAACTTAATCGCTTGCCATTTACAAACTCATATCATAAACACACATGACAATACATAGTTGCATACCATTATGCAAGACAAAGATCCCCTGTATTGCCGACTGTTGAGGGAAAATTCTGTTAGTGAGCACCTATAAAGGCTGGCACGGCACACAGGTGATGGTGGCTCGGGTCACCTTTGTCTCCCCAGTGTTGATGTTTATTACACACTCATTTGAGGCTGATGACCGGTTCAGATATTCATTACAAAATGTTTGTCGTGAGCAGAAATCGAGTTCGGGTCATTTGGTTAGAAGTGCAACCTGCGAACCACGACACTAAAGCAACAACAACCGCCATTCGCCACTAAGTGGCGGTGATGTCACCACGACGCTTGTGCCAGGCCATGTGCACCTTGAGGCCACGTGAAGTGTCGAACGCCCCGCTGGCAGGAGGTCGCGGGGGCAGACCCAGGTGCCACGGGTCTGATCTGAGATGACCGAGATGACTAGCTGATGCACCACCTGTGCCCCCTACTGTGCCCCCTACTGTGCCAACTTGCTGTGCTTCAGCCACCCCGGCGCTTCGCTCGTTGTTACGAGCGTCGCTCCTCCGCCCTCCGTTGTTGCTGGAGGGCGACTGCCTCCAACTGCCCAGTAGCGTCCTTCACGAGCCTCCTCTACAGAGGCCGATCTTGACACCGCTGGTACCAGTCATCGGCAAGTCCACTCAGATCCACGTCCTCCTGTGCCACATCACTCCATCCCTTCTCTAGCCCGTGCCGCGCCCGTTTAGCCCCCTCGAGTCCGGCCGAATATAGCTGTTTAGGCATGCGGTGGCTGGGCATGCGGGCTTACATGACCCAGCCAACGCAGCAAGGCCTGCCGGAGGAATTCACCGATGGGACTTTGCCCAGATCTTTCAAGGATTTCTGAGCTCCTCGCACAATCCAGCCTGGTTAAACCCAGGATGGATCGTAGTCAGGGCCATGCCTAAGTTTTCTAACCGGCGCAGATGCTCCATTAGGGGGGTCCACGTTTCGCAAGCGTAGAGAAGGGAGGGAATGACTGTGCCGAGAAGACCTGAAGCTTCGTGCGGAGCGACAGACCAAGTAGCTTTCACACAGCGTTACGCAACCGATGAAAAGATATTGCCACTCGACTGATTCTGCTATTAAACTGGAGCCGGTCATAAGCACACTGCCCAGGTATGGGAAACTCTCCACAACTGCCCTATCACCAATTGGGAGTTTGGGGGGTGGAGTGTCCGATGGTAAAAAAATACCCAGGCAGCTGCTTCGTTTTGGTGGGGCTGATGGTAGTGGCACGCTCCAGTCTCAAGCAGCAGCGTCTCCAACTCTTCCTCTGAATGAGCAGCTATTACCAAATCATCGGCATACATAACGTGGTTAAGGGAGCCATCCCTTGATCACACCCGGGCATCGATCAGCCTCCCATTATATCTGTACCAAATGTAAATTCCCCCGGTACAGCTATTGAAGGCTTCATAGATGTATCCCTATCGCACCCCAAGGTGTACAGGGAATGGCTCCGACTCCCAGCCACGTAGTTTTACAGCCCAGAGATGTAGGTCTTGTTAGAATTTCCTACACCTCTGCTGTAGCAGACAGAAATGTGGCATCTGTGCAGGACCGCCCTTTTCTGAAATCGCATTGGGGCTCCACAAGCCTCTCCTCAGCGGTGCCTAGCAAGGCGATGTTGAATAATCCTTGCCAGGACCTTTCCCGGCACACTGAGGAGATGCCCCTGTAGTTGTTACAGTCTGTGCGGGTCCCCCTACTACTACAGCTCTCCACATAGCACACGCATACACACACTCACCCGTACAAAGCAATATCTACGTAACACATCCAATCTCATATCAACAAATATATACAATTACACACATAATACACAGCAATATTTGTCATACATCAAATACATATCAATATATACCTATCACATAGCAGTACACACCATACAACACACACTCACTCTCACACACTATTACACTGGCATGGTCGCCAAAACAATATATACCAACGGACACTGATCAACACGCACACAATCGCACGTATGTAATCCAGGTTACTCTGCAGACCTTGGCCTCTTGATCTCTGACCTGGTTAAACTAAATAAAGTTATGCAGCCCATATCCCCATGACACAACACACAGCTCACACAAACACACATTCTTAAAGGCATTCAAACGAACGTAGACCAACATGTACCAATACGCACTGCTACATATCCGCAAATCACCTCACGTAGCATAAACAAAGATCCCCGGGTAGCCTTCGTGGACTTTTGGGGCAAGTGCCATTTGCAAGCACCAATCAATGCTGAAGGGGCACATGAGGGCCGTGTGGCCAGCAGCAGGTCTATCCACCTTTGACTCTGCAGCGCTCTAGCACACACATCACCAGATACTCATTTGTAGATGAGTCTACCTCGGGGATATTCATCACCGATGCTGGCCGTCGGCGCAAATCAAACTCGGGTCGCTGGGTTCGTAGCGCAGTGCGCTAAACATAACTGTCACCACCGCCATTCACCACTAAACAGCGGTGACGTCACCATGGCGCTTGCGCCAGGCTAGGTGCACTCTGAGTCATGAGAGTGTTATCAAAGGCTAGCCAACAGAGACACGCATCCCCACACCCACATGCCGCTTGTTTAGCCAGACGCAGAGCAGATACCACGGGGGAAACTGGCGAGCAGTACAAATCAATTTAATTTAAGAGGCAATGCTGTAAACAGGGGCTGTGAACTCCGAAATGCGTTCCGAACGCCGCGAGTCGAATTCTCACGCCAAACCGTGGTCGGCGTGGAGCGCGAAGCAAGCGATACCACCACCAGCCCGAATCAGCGACTCTAACTCTAGGGGACTGCTCGTGTTGGGATGCACGCTCCCCAGCACTCTGGGCTGTCGAAACAAAATCAAACGATTCGCCGAGACGGGCGCGACGGTGCGACGCGCGGCTACACTGCCATCTCCCGTAGATGCTCACTCGCCTAAAAACCTCTGCGGGTCCGGCGCCCAGTGCCATCGCTGGGAGGGGAATAGTGGGGGCAGTTGGGGTGAGAGGGAAGGCCCCTTGCGATCATTCTGGTAGGGAGCGGGGCTGTGGAGGCCGTCACGGTGGCCGTCCCCGGCCACAGGCGTGGATGTCACAGGTCCTCCCGCTTGCTGGGCCGGTTGGTGTCGCGGTTGGCGTCGAGGTTGGCGTCATGGAAAGAGGCTCCGTCGCCCGAGGTCGTCGTTGCCGTCTTCTTGCCAGGCTTGGTCTTGTTTTTACTCTTGCTCTTCACGTCTTTGGAGGGAGCGCCGCGACCCTGGAACACTTGGCCCTCCACCGTGACGTCTGCGCAGCGCTCCTGTGCCACCAGGTAGTCCTTCATCTCCCACGCCAGAGAGCCGTCCTTCAGCATGAAGATGGCACGGTCGGGGCCCACCATGAAGCTGCATGCCACACCACGCCGTGATATTCCATTGCCACGCCACACACCACAGATCAAAGACAAAGATCCCCTCTACAGCCTTTAACATACTTTTGGGACAAGTGCTGTTAGCAAGCACCACTGAAGATCGACAAGACACACAAGGGGATGGGTGGCCAGCACCATGCCCAGGCACCTGTCTCCCAAGTGCTGATGTTTATACACTGCAAAGGGTACTCATTTAAGGCTGAGTCGATCTCGGGGAGGGCCCAGGACCGGTTCAAATATATGCCACTTAAATCGGTCATGGTTAGCACAGTGCGCTGTTGCGCCCAATCACAGCGCATCACACACCGTGTCTACTCGCCCTCCTATTGACCCGGACCCTACCGCCAATCCCACCACCGTGCTCACCGCTGTACATCGTAGTTGGCGTTGAAGAGGCTGCCCTGCCACAGCCCCGTAATCTCCTCGGCTTCCTTCTCGCTGGGGTCGCCCGACACTGTGACGAACACCATGAGCGTGCGGCCCTTCTTAGTGGCCTTGAGCATCTCGGCCGGGTTGCTGGGGTCGAGCTTGGAGAGGTCGATGGGCGGGCCCTGGCGCAGGTGCTCAGGCTTGTCGCCCTCCTCGATGTCGTCGTCTCGCTGTGCTCAGTCGCACCGACCGTAGCAACGATCGCATACAAACATCCCCCGTGCAGCCTTAACACAGCGTTGGGGAGCAAGCACATATTAAACCAACCTGGTTTTTATATTTTACCAGGTTAAGGGCCACTGAGCTATTCGCTTATTTTTTCAGAATGGACTTGGCTATGACAAATAATAGCTCAACAAAGTGGCAACCAAATACTCTAAACGCACGTTTCTATACATGGAGGGAAACCCCGGAGAATGTCCACGCGATCACGGGGAAACTCTAAATATACAACAGGCGTCAGGGTCAGGATCGAACTCACGACCTGCTGTATACCAGGCGAGATGTTAACATCTTGCCACCGCGCACGGCGCATGAAGGCTGGCATAGCACGAGCGGGGATGGATGGTCAATACCACGCCTGGCATCCTTTGTCTCCCCAGTGCAGATATTTTACACTTAGCGGCAGGCACTTATTTTTAAGACTGAGTCGACCTTAGGGAGGCCCAGGACCGGTTCAACTATTCGCAACTGATATTGTAGTGCAGCGAGTTTTCCACTGCACCACTGGTCCCCTCACACACGACACTACTGTACAGGACAACGCGTATTCAGAGTCTCCATGCGACCGTACATCTCAAGACGCTGCGCTCTGTCGACATGATCTTTACACAGTGGGCACGTTCGTTATGAGGGCCAGTCAATCATAGGTCTCTATGCCAGTCTATAGGGCTCTGTCAGTCTCCACACGTCTATGGTGAAACTGGTTCTCTATGGGTACACAAGTACAGTACTCTATGGGTACACTGGTTCTCTATGGGTACACGAGTACAGTACTCTATGGGTACACTGGTTCTCTATGGGTATACTGGTACAGTACTCTATGGGTACACTGGTTCTCTATGGGTACACTGGTACAGTATTATATGGGTACACTGGTTCTCTATGGGTACACTGGCACAGTATTCTATGGGTACACTGGTTCTCTATGGGTATACTGATACAGTACTCTATGGGTACACTGGTTCTCTATGGGTACACTGGTACAGTATTCTATGGGTACACTGGTTCTCTATGGGTACAAAAGTACAGTACTCTATGGGTACACTGGTTCTCTATGGGTACACGAGTACAGTTCTCTATTGGTACACTGGTTCTCTATGGGTACACGAGTACAGTACTCTGTGGGTACACTGGTTCTCTATGGGTACACGAGTACAGTACTCTGTGGGTACACTGGTTCTCTATGGGTACACGAGTACAGTACTCTATGGGTACACTGGTTCTCTATGGGTACACTGGTACAGTATTCTATGGGTACACTGGTTCTCTATGGGGTACACTAGTACAGTACTGTATGGGTACACTGGTTCTCTATGGGTACACGAGTACAGTTCTCTATGGGTACACTGGTTCTCTATAGGTACACTGGTACAGTACTCTATGGGTACACTGGTTCTCTGTGGGTACATTATTACAGTTCTCTATGGGTACACTGGTTCTCTATGGGCACACGAGTACAGTTCTCTATGGGTACACTGGTTCTCTATGAGTATACTGGTATAGTACTCTATTGGTACACTGGTACTCTATGGGTACACTGGTTCTCTATGGGACACGAGTACAGTACTCTGTGGGTACACTGGTTCAAAATGGGTACACGAGTACAGTACTCTGTGGGTACACTGGTTCTCTATGGGTACACGAGTACAGTACTCTGTGGGTAAACTGGTTCAAAATGGGTACACGAGTACAGTACTCTATGGGTACACTGGTTCAAAATGGGTACACTAGTACAATACTCTATGGGTACACTGGTTCTCTATGGGTACACTAGTACAGTACTCTATGGGTACACTGGTTCTCTATGGGTACACTAGTACAATACTTTATGGGTACACGAGTACAGTACTCTATGGGTACACTGGTTCTCTATGGGTACACTAGTACAGTTCTCTATGGGTACACTGGTTCTCTATTGGTACAAAAGTACAGTAATCTATGGGTACACTGGTTCTCTATGGGTACACGAGTACAGTTCTCTATGGGTACACTGGTTCTCTATGGGTACACTGGTTATCTATGGGTACACTGGTACTCTATGGGTACACTGGTACAGTATTCTATGGGTACACTGGTTCTCTATGGATACACTAGTACAGTACTCTATGGGTACACTGGTTCTCTATGGGTACATGAGTAGTTCTCTATGCGTACACTGGTTCTCTATGGGTATACTGGTACAGTACTCTATGGGTACACTGGTTCTCTATGGGTACACTGGTACAGTATTCTATGGGTACACTGGTTCCATATGGGTATACTGGTACAGTACTCTATGGGTACACTGGTTCTCTATGGGTACACAAGTACAGTTCTCTATGGGTACACTGGTTCTCTATGGGTACACTGGTACAGTATTCTATGGGTACACTGGTTCTCTATGGATACACTAGTACAGTACTCTATGGGTACACTGGTTCTCTATGGGTACATGAGTAGTTCTCTATGCGTACACTGGTTCTCTATGGGTATACTGGTACAGTACTCTATGGGTACACTGGTTCTCTATGGGTACACAAGTACAGTTCTCTATGGGTACACTGGTTCTCTATGGGTACACTGGTACAGTATTCTATGGGTACACTGGTTCTCTATGGGCACACGAGTACAGTACTCTGTGGGTAAACTGGTTCTCTATGGGTACACCGGTACATTATTCTATGGGTACACTGGTTCTCTATGGATACACGAGTACAGTACTCTGTAGGTACACTGGTTCTCTATGGGTACACTGGCACAGTATTATATGGGTACACTGGTTCTCTATGGGTATACTGGTACAGTACTCTATGGGTACACTGGTTCTCTATGGGTACACAAGTACAGTTCTCTATGGGTACACTGGTTCTCTATGGGTACACTGGTTATCTATGGGTTACACTGGTACTCTATGGGTACACTGGTACAGTAGTCTATGGGTACACTGGTTCTCTATGGATACACTAGTACAGTACTCTATGGGTACACTGGTTCTCTATGGGTACATGAGTAGTTCTCTATGGGTACACTGGTTCTCTATGGGTATACTGGTACAGTACTCTATGGGTACACTGGTTCTCTATGGGTATACTGGTACAGTACTCTATGGGTACACTGGTTCTCTATGGGTACACAAGTACAGTACTCTATGGGTACACTGGTTCAAAATGGGTACACTAGTACAATACTTTATGGGTACACTGGTTCTCTATGGGTACACTAGTACAGTACTCTATGGGTACACTGGTTCTCTATGGGTACAAAAGTACAGTAATCTATGGGTACACTGGTTCTCTATGGGTACACGAGTACAGTTCTCTATGGGTACACTGGTTCTCTATGGGTACAAAAGTACAGTAATCTATGGGTACACTGGTTCTCTATGGGTACACGAGTACAGTTCTCTATGGGTACACTGGTTCTCTATGGGTACACTGGTTATCTATGGGTACACTGGTACTCTATGGGTACACTGGTACAGTATTCTATGGGTACACTGGTTCTCTATGGATACACTAGTATAGTACTCTATGGGTACACTGGTTCTCTATGGGTACACTGGTTCTCTATGGGTATACTGGTACAGTACTCTATGGGTACACTGGTTCTCTATGGGTATACTGGTACAGTACTCTATGGGTACACTGGTTCTCTATGGGTACACAAGTACAGTTCTCTATGGGTACACTGGTTCTCTATGGGTACACTGGTACAGTATTCTATGGGTACACTGGTTCTCTATGGGCACACGAGTACAGTACTCTGTGGGTACACTGGTTCTCTATGGGTACACTGGTACAGTATTCTATGGGTACACTGGTTCTCTATGGATACACGAGTACAGTACTCTGTGGGTACACTGTTTCTCTATGGGTACACTGGCACAGTATTCTATGGGTACACTGGTTCTCTATGGGTATACTGGTACAGTACTCTATGGGTACACTGGTTCTCTATGTTTCGATTTAAAGCTTTTGTGACTGCAGGGATTCATCTTCTTGGTTCTTTCGGTAAAGTCACGTAGAAGGGAAGTAATAAAATAATAAAAATAAAACATAATAAAATCAAATAATTCTCACGACGTTTCGGCTACAACGCAAGCAGCCGTCTTCAGGTGAAGAATGAGACACTGCCAAGCTAGGAGCTTATATATAAGCTGAGTTGGAGGTGGAAGAAGAAGAGAGCCTTAACAAAAGAATGTGCATATCAAGAGGAATTTAGCATATTCATGAGAAACGCGTAGGAGGTGGGCGGGGGGGTTTCAAAGTCATATTATGCCCATGCATTATGCAGGATCAGCAGCACCAAAGGGAGGGGGGGTAGCATTAACAAAGGGAGGGCATGTTAATAATATGTAGAAGCAATGAAACATGTGAAGAAACATGTGAAGAACTCCCTCATCAAGACTCTATACCATAGAGCCCAATGCATCTCCGACCAGGAACACATTGCCAGTGAACTCAAACACGTACGCCAAGCTCTTAAGGCTAATGGTTACTCCGACTACACAATCCGCAAGGCCATCACTCCAACCGTCAAGAAGGATCCTGCTGAGGAGCCTTTCAAAACCATCACCTTACCCTACATTGCTGGGGTCACAAAAAAGATCTCCAAAAGCCTGATTAAACACAAGATTCAGGTACGATTCAACACAGTACATAAAATCCGTGATCTGGTTCCGTCTGTAAAAGACGTGGTTCCATACATACAGTACCCTGGCGTCTACAAACTAAGTTGCCTCTGTGGTAGCAGTTACATTGGAGAAACCAAACGACATGTCTCGGACCGCATCCGTGAACATAAAGCTGACCTGAAACACGGTAGGACAAACACCTCAGCCGTGGCAGATCACTGTTACAATTCAGTGGGTTCACATGACATTGACTTCTCCAAGACAGAGGTTCTCTGCAAGCCATCTGGCTACCATGAGAGATTCGTTCATGAGGCGATCCACATATACAAACACAGAGACAATTTCAACCGAGAAGATGGATTCTGGCTCAGCAATCATTGGAAGGACGTAATAAACCACTTCGGATCTTAACTGATTGTGTTCACGTTTATGGTGACTTTCAGACCGCAGTCCACTCACTGGCATTAACTGTGTATCTTGTGTTCTCCACAGGGAATGCATCATTTGCTCCGCTGCGGATCTCCTGCCACCGTATTCCCATTCACATGTTTCATTGCTTCTACATATTATTAACATGCCCTCCCTTTGTTAATGCTACCCCCCCCCCCTTTGGTGCTGCTGATCCTGCATAATGCATGGGCATAATATGACTTTGAAACCCCCCCGCCCACCTCCTACGCATTTTCCATGAATATGCTAAATTCCTCTTGATATGCACATTCTTTTGTTAAGGCTCTCTTCTTCTTCCACCTCCAACTCAGCTTATATATAAGCTCCTAGCTTGGCAGTGTCTCATTCTTCACCTGAAGACGGCTGCTTGCGTTGTAGCCGAAACGTCGTGAGAATTATTTGATTTTATTATGTTTTATTTTTATTATTTTATTACTTCCCTTCTACGTGACTTTACCGAAAGAACCAAGAAGATGGTTCTCTATGGGTACACAAGTACAGTTCTCTATGGGTACACTGGTTCTCTATGGGTACACTGGTACAGTATTCTATGGGAACACTGGTTCTCTATGGGTACACGAGTACAGTACTCTATGGGTACACTGGTTCTCTATGGGTACACTGGTACAGTATTCTATGGGTACACGAGTACAGTACTCTGTGGGTACACTGGTTCTCTATGGGTACACTGGCACAGTATTCTATGGGTACACTGGTTCTCTATGGGTATACTGATACAGTACTCTATGGGTACACTGGTTCTCTATGGGTACACTGGTACAGTATTCTATGGGTACACTGGTTCTCTATGGGTATACTGGTACAGTACTCTATGGGTACACTGGTTCTCTATGGGTACACAAGTACAGTTCTCTATGGGTACACTGGTTCTCTATGGGTACACTGGTACAGTATTCTATGGGTACACTGGTTCTCTATGGGTACACGAGTACAGTATTCTATGGGTACACTGGTTCTCTATGGGTACACTGGCACAGTATTCTATGGGTACACTGGTTCTCTATGGGTACACGAGCACAGTACTCTATGGGTACACTGGTTCTCTATGGCATAGTGATACTCTATGTGAGATGACGCCGGTATCGTATCGAGGTCCCTGAAGCTGACGCTGCTCACTGCGCGGCGTTTGCTGCGAGCGAGGTGGCCGCTACCTCCCACTGCTCCAGCAGGCGCGCCATGTCGGCATCGTTGAAGTCGCGGATGTCCTTCTTCTTCGCCGCCGCCGCCTTCTTGTCGCTGCCCGAGTCCTTCTCGGCCGCCCCGTCGGGGCAGAGCGCCGCGACCACGACAAGCAACAGCAGTAGCGACCTGCACAGCGCGACTGCCATGACGACTCCAGAGAGACGGTGGTGGGGGGCGCGCACGTGACCCGTAGAGTGGGGGGCCGGGAGTCGTCACCTCGAGGGCGGCCATGTTGGATGTGGAGAATGCCGAGTGCATTTGTGACGGCCATCTTGGGCGGGGAGACGGCACGTTCAAGACCGTGTCAGCACGCGCGGCTTTATCCCGTATTCTTGTGCAGGGAAATTGAGTTTGCAGGTCCGTACGTACGGAATACTATACAGTCGTTTCAATGCGGGATAATTTTTTGGTCAATTCGTTTGTGTTTCTCCCTTGTGATGGGACTTTGTAGGATGAACGTTGAGATGTATACGGGGTACCCGGGTGACCAATAAGATCTGAATTGGTCCGTCATAAGGTAGGCACTGTGATAAGCGGGAAGCCTTACACGCGCGCAGGCGTAGCCCCCCCCCCACGCGTCACGCAGGCGAACCAATCAAAGCGCGGCGCGGAATGTGTTTTTTATTCCCCCCCCTCCGCTTCCCCCCTACCAACATGGCCAGCCAAGGCCGACGGGGCGGCCCCACATTCGCCAATGGACGGGCAAGAGAGGCGGCGCACGTGACGCGTCGCGGTGGCCAATCAATGGGCGCCCGTGGATCCAGGACGCGAGGCGGAATCTGAAGTCGCCGGGCAGCGAGGAGGGAAGGGGCGAGGGGGAGGGGGGTAGGGGGAGGGGGCGGGGTCGGTGGAAAGGGGGGAGGGGGAAAGGGGGCGGGGTCGGTGGAAAGGGGGGAGGGGGAAAGGGGGCGGGGTCGGTGGAAAGGGGGGAGGAGCGGCTACTTCCCCCTCCCCCCCCAGGGCTCCGACTCCTCCCTCAGAGCAGCCTGGGCAGTCGCAGGGCGCGGCGGGGGTAGTCGTTGTCCCGCCGACTCCCCGCCCGTCCTCTCGAGGCAGCTCCCTGCCTGAGTCCCCCCCCCCCTCTGTTCATCCTCCCACGCTGAGCTTTCTTCCTTCCCTGTCCGAGCGCTCTCCTCTTCCCTCCACGTTCCCTGTCCAACTTAACCCCCCGCCCCAGTCTCTCTCCGTCTCCCATCCGCCCGTCCACTCTCCCGCCCACGTCCCTCTAACCCCCCCACCATTATCTTAGCTGCAGGGAAAAGCCCCGAGCAGGAAGCCGAGGCGTGTGTCGCGGCGTTTCCCGTGGCCCGCACCCCTCCTCGGGCCCGGGGACCCAGGGACCCCGGACCCCGGGGCCACACCCTGCCGCCTTCCGGCCATGGGAGTCCGGCCCGGCGCCTCACGGCCCGGAGGCGCACGCTTCCTCCTCACCAGCCCCGCACTGTCCCGGCCGCCCTCGCTTGGCCGTTCACTGCTGCCGAGCAGGACTTGAGAGAGCGAGGCAGGGAGAGGGGGGGGGCAGCAGGGAGCGAGCGAGGCAGGGAGAGAGAGAGGCCGCTCGGCCCCGTCGGCCTCGCCCAGCCGCGCAGCCGGGACGCGGCCACCGCCCGTCCCCAAAATAAACCAGAGCAGGGACGGGAGACTCGTCGCGACCAGGAGGAGGAGGAGGAGGCCAGCAGCGGTCCCCCGCACACACCCGGCGAGGCGAAGAGGGCCGGGCCGTCCCTGCCGTCCCCGCTCGCTTGATGCGCCCCCGGCCCGGGGTCGAGCCGAGCCGCGCCTCCCGGGCGACCCAGCGCCGCCGCCGTCTCCTCGTCCTCCTCGGCCACCCCCAGAACGACGCCGCCGCCGCTTTATGGAAGGATGATGGAGCCGGCGCGGAGGCGGCGAGCGGGGCGCGGCGAGCAAGGCGAGAGAGGCCGGCATGGCTAGCGCCGGCGGAGGGCCAGGGCAGACGTGCGGTAGCGGAGGTTGCGGTCCGAGGCGCGTCGGCGAAGCTGCCGCTGCTGCCGCTGCTGCTGCTGCCGGCGGCGGCGGTGCCCGCGGCGGGGCCGCGACCCCCGGCGCGGAGCTGCGCAGGCTGGCGGCGGCGAGCGAGGCGAGTCGGGCTCGCATGCAGCTGGCGGCCGAGCTGCTGCTGCTGTCCGGCGAGGCGCGGCCCGTGTCGTGGTCGGGGGCCGCCGCCTCGGCCGTGGCCTCGGCCGACTCGTCCTTCGCCAAGTGTCGGGACGCGGTGATCGCCCGCAGCAAGGGCCTCCTCATCGCCGCCCTGGACGCGCAGAACCAGGCGGGCGCGGGGCGGCCGGGCGAGGCGGCCGAGAGCGCGGCCCGTCTCGGGGAACTGGTGGTGGCGCTCACCGAGTGCGCGGCCGAGGCTGCCTACCGGGCCGGGCTGGCGGCCCCGGGCTCCAGTCCCGCGCGGCCGGGCCTGGCGGACGCGTACCGCGTTGCCCGCTCCCAACACGAGGTGGAGGCGGCGTGCGCCCGGCTCCGACACGGACCCCTGGAGGACCTCACCCCGCAGGTTCTGCTCGACATCTCGGCCGGCGTCTCCCGGCACCTGCGCCTGCTTACGGACGCGTGCGGCGCCGAGGAGACGGGGCCCGAGGGTGACCCCGCCGCGGACCCGCCACCGGATCCCTTCGCGCGGGAGCAGTTCAAGCTCGGCGTGCGCAGCGCGGGCGCCTGTGCCTCGGCGCTGCTGGCAGGGATCCGAGCCCTCAAGGCGGCCCCCGGCGAAGCCACGCGGGCCCGGGCGCTGCTGTTCGCGGCGCCGCTCGTCCACGCCGTGCGCGCCCTCGCGGGGCTGGCGAGCGAGCCGCGCTGCCGAGGCCGCGCCGCGACGCTGGGGCCCGAGGGCCGCGCCGCGCACACGGCTATCGCGGGCGGGGCCATGAGCGTGGTGTCGGCGTGCGTGCTGGTGGTCGAGTGTCTCGGGGACAACGCGCAGCTGCAGATGCAGCAGCTGCAGCAGCAGCAGCAGCAGCAGAGGCGTCACGGCCAAGCGGGGCCTGCGGACGCGCGCAGGGTGGCCGCCGCGCTCGGGGAGAGGCTGCGGCAGGCCGTGCGCGCCGCCTCGGACGGATGCGAGATGCTGTCCCACGCCCTGAGGGAGCGCGCCTCTCCACGAGCCATCGCCCCGGCCATGCAGTCCCTGGCGCTCAGCTGATAAGCAGCCCCCCCCGCACCGCGCGAGACTCTCACCTGCGTGCTTAAGCGCTCATCAGCCGATACCTCCACGCACACCATCATACATCCTCAGCCATCCACTCGCTACCACACTGCATCCTAACCTATTCGCCAGCCTACATTCTCAACAGGTTACCATCCTCACTCTCCCTCTCAACAGCTTTCTCAACGGCTCATACGTAACACAACTCGCCAACATATATCTTCACTCGCCCACTCACCCATCTTATATCCTAAGCCACTCAACAGCCAGTATCACCACCAGCCACTACCATCAACCTTGCATCCTCACCCACTCATCACCCCCAACCTCGCGATCACCGAACAGATCTGTGAAATTTGTGAACCTGGGAACAAACCTCTACCCCAAGCTCAGGGGTAACGGCGTCTCCCGCTCCGGGAGTTTCCGGCACTCAGTCCTGCCGGGTAATGCTGCTGCTGATGGTGGTGGTGACGGTAATAATGATGATGCGCTGTGTTTTTGAGACGACTGTTGGAAGGTGTCGGTGCGTGCACACGTTGTGAGGTTATGAATGCTCCGTGTTGAATTTAAATGCCCGCGTCGCTGTGAAGCAGAAATTGCGATCTCGGGTCGAGGAAATTCCTGATTGTGACTGTAACCGCGTTAACGTATGGAACCCAGCCCTATCTTAGCCTTAATACAGCACCAAACTAACCCTATCCCAGCCTTAATATAATACCAAACTGACCCTAACCCAGCCTTAACCCTAACCCAGCTCTCGCCCTAAATCAGCCCTAGCCCAGCCTTAATACAGCGCCATACTAACCCTAACCCTGCCTAAACCCTAGCCCAGCTATAACCCAGCCTGCTGAATATGCATCTAACCCAGCTATAACCTGGTCCTAACCCGGACCTATCTCTAACCAGATCCCCTCCGATGACCCTGGCCAAAGGCCCAATTCCAAGACAAATCCTTACCCTTGTTCCCATTTTTAGCTGAAGCCCTATACCTAACGTCACACAAACATCCTGAGTGGACGGACTTGGAGCAACCAGTCACTAACCACAGTGCTTTCCCAAGCCCCAACACAGTCATAACCCCTTAATACTGATCCCAACCCAAACCCTACCTCAGGGCATCTTAACTCCAGTCCTTGCGACCAACAAATCAATGCACCCCACAAAAAAATGTAATAATTACATGCTGCATGCCCCCGATGGTTGCTAAAGATGTCGCATGAGCAATTATCAGGCGCACGCAGTGTGTTAATGATGTGTCTGGACGGGATATTGGTGAACGTTTCAAGGCAGAGCCTGGTAGGGGGCCTTTAGAGCTTGGGGAACTTCCGGATCCACGTCAGTGCCTTTAACTTGGACCCAAAGTTATGGCCTCTAGTGGCTGCATTAACTCTTGAGGGTGGTGGGGGAGATTAGTGGGATGAATTGGCGAGCATCGATTCATTGACTCCAGCACCGCAACTGACCCTCGCGCCCGTGATTCACACGTAGAATCAAGCTCGCATTAGACGCGATTACCCAATCCGATTCGTGCCGTGCGATGAGAGGAGCACAGATTAGCATGGGAACAGGCGAGCCCACCGAGCATATGCATCATTCATGCCACATCCTGAGGCTGGGAATCGAACGCGTCTAATGTCAGTGGCAAAGTGATACATGAAGCGATGCACTGACCTGCGTGGTGAAGTATAGTCATATAAACCTCAACGGCATGACGTTCATTGACGGGCTGTCGTTTTTGAAAAATTTACCTTGTTTTGCAAGTGAAGCGAAGGAGACTTTACTCACGAGACAACGATTCAAACAAGACCAATCTACATCGGCTCAGGTGGGATCAAGCCCTTGAGTCGTGGCGGCTGAGTGAATCACTGGAGTTGTGAATCCTTGCTCGCTCGGCACGATGCGGTGGTGGGGACTGGCCCGGGCGTTGTGTGCCCCCCCCCCCCACCATTCGGTTTGAGTGCCGCTGCCACATGCGAGTGATTGTGTCCCCCCCCCATCCCCACTTGATCAACTCTGAGACTTACAAACTCCCCTACGGGGTAATGGCCGAACCTTACAGGTTCGTTTTTCGGATCAAGTGAGAAGTGCAAGGACCCTGGATCACAAAATTCTGCCCTCCGCTCCTTGTACTGCAAACACCAATGGGTGGGGTCACTGGGAGGAGTGGGGGGCATGTCCAGTGCTCCATTGCGGAATGTGAACCTTGCCTTTGGTACCCCCCTCCCCCCCCCCCACAAAGGCCAAGGCAACTTTGCCAGGCCTTCCTCCGCCTCCTCTGGTCATCTGACCTTGCTGTTCCCGTCCCTCCCCGGTCTGCTTCGTGGGTTCCTCCTAATGGATAGCAGTGCCGCCCCCCCCCCCCCTCAGCTGTGGCTAGCGAGGTTCAAGGTCACGCCCTTGGCGCTACCCCTCCTCGCCATCGCTTCTGCCATGTCCCACAGCAGAGGTACACTCGACACTGGAGTGAGGCCCCCATTGTCATCCCTCGAATGGGGTTATACGTTGAGGCTGGGATTAGGGGTTCTCCCCACACACCCCCTCCTTATTAGACGTTGCCCCTTTCTCCTTATGACCCCCCCCCCCCCCTTTACTGGGTCCTCGAGTCAGAACTTGGTCTGCACTGACCCGTCCCATCCGGCCTGGGCCCCCTCTGTGGCCCCCTCTGACCCCCAGAATGCCCTTCGTGGGGCATTCTGGGGGTCCGCCGTCATTTTACTGTGAAGATAACGAGCGGCAACCACATGCGCTGCAACATCGCCGATTCGTATCGGCTGCTGCAGCTCACGATACGCGCATCGCCCCACCCGTGTGTATCGATCGATTTGTTTCGTGGTGAGGCCATGTGACCCCTGCAGCCACGGAAGTGGCCGCGACAATCCACGATTTATTAGCAATTGATCCTCTAATCTAAACCCTGAATGGTGAGGATGAGTCGAGTCGTGCGGCAGGTGACGCGGTGTCTGTGGCTGCGCGCCAACGTTGATGATGTCTAAACGCCGCGGGTGTGAGGAGCGGCCCCGCCGGCGTGAGACTTTGAAGTGACTTTCAGGAGAGCGCTCCAGTGACGTCACGCTCAGGGTTCCACGTGCCGAACGAGTCGTGCGTGTGAGAGTCTGTTCCATTCCGATATATGCAAACCTTATGCAGATTGTATGCTAACCTTGCACCGGGCTAATGGGCAGAACAAAGCCGTGCGGTGTGAGACTGAGAACAACAACTGGGCAGCGCTCGGAGCAAGATGCTCAAAAACGAGACCACGTGGATGGCCGACTGAATCGGGAGCACGACCTCGGGCTGCCGCCCTCACGGGCCGTTCAACTTCGTCCAACTTCGTCCGTACGGAAAGAAAATCAACTTTGAAGTGACTTTTGTGTGAGCAGAGGGGAACATCGCGGAGTCCACTGTGGTTGACGACGTTTACTGTGTGCGCCTGAAAGTCACGCGAGAGTGGTTTGTGTGGGGCCTAGGTCGCGCCGTGTGGAGTCGGCTCTCAATACTGATGATGATGCACACGAGTCTACACATCGTGTTTAGATCATGAATCGTTCTGTATTTATTTGTCATTAAATGCTTTGGCAGTTGAACTGTGACGCCTGCTGCAATCGCGTGGCCAGGGGGCTCGCAACGTGCGCCCGGCGGGCTGTGGTGGCCACATTGAAGTTGTGGATTTTCCAACTCTAGATATCATCCTGCGGCGGAGTGATCATGGGTCCCTCGCGTTTGGAAAAGTGCAGTGCGTGCACCGTGTTAAGGGGAGGATTCGTTTCAGATCTGTGTCGGAGAATATAGTTCGGGGCCCGGCACACCACATTCCATTTACCCCTCGCTATGGCGGTGGCTTCACCAAGTTCCTTCTATGTTTACCGGCAACCTCAGAATTATTGAGTGGGAAGCAGCATCGATTAATCCAGATGAATACCGCTCATTTAGGAGGCATCATGCATTAATTGAAAAAATATATCTGAAAAAAGCTTTACAGCTCAGTGGGCCTTACCTGGTCAAATTAAAACAGTTTATAGTTTTTATTGAATTGCGTGCCAATGGCAATTATGGTGCCAGTGTGAAATGTAACCTTGGCTTGAGATCGCTTTCTTATCCTTGTAGAGCATTGCTAGAATCGACATCTCTCAGTCACGGGTCCCTGCTGTGTGGCACCATGCTAGACCATGGCCAACTTGTATTTGATATTCTCTACCGCATGACCCTGAATTTGAAGGTCCATGGGGCCAGAGTAGAAACACCGGGAGTGGCTTAAGTCTGCAAAACCTTTAGTGACGCCCATTTATTTACAAGTGCAACTTAGAGTGGATAGCTTAATAATCCTGCTCGTTTCACACGACTGATCACGTCCATCACAATGTCAACGTGTAACACTCGACAGCTGTCGTTGCACAGTGATCGCTTACTCTCGCAGAGAGACGACTCGGGGGCGCCATGAATAGGAACGAGACGCGTGAAAAGGCTAATTAATGAGCGGACATGCGTGTGGGAGGAACCCGGAGAAAACCCACGTGTGCGAGGGGGAAACACTATCCCATCCAGACGGGACCGATTGGGTCCACATTTTTGCTTGTTTCCGCTCGATATAACCCCTAACCGTTAACCCTAATTGCTAAACCTAACAGCTAACTGTTAACCCCTAATTGCTAATCCATAACCGCTAACCCCGAACTACTAACCCCTAACAGCTAACCCTAACTCATTAGAGGCTACCCGCTTACCCCTACATGCTAACCGCTAACTGTTTAACTCTAACCCCTAACTCCTAACCCCTAACTCCCAATCCCTAATCCCTCACTCCTAACCCCCAACTCCCAAACCATAACCCATAACTCCTAACCCCCAACTCCCAAACCATAACCCCTAACTCCCAAACCATAACCCTTAACTCCTAACCCCTCACCACAAACTCGTAACCCCCCTGGGGCGGTGGTGGCTATGCTGCACGTGGCCTGTAATCCCACACCGCGTGGAGGCAGTAGTGAGGGTTGGTGGATCACACATGCCGATGTTGTGAAACTCCTTTCCCTGTGAGCATCAAGGAGGAGCCGCATCCTGGCTCTCCAAGTGAAGGCAGTACAGCAAAGTGGACTAATCACCGTCCGTGGCCGCTCGTGCAAGGCGTGGGATTTCTCTGTGCGCTCCGGTTTCCTGCCGCTTGTACAATAAACACAACTCGTAATTTCAATACCAAAACAGGGAGGATTTCTCCACAATTCCGGCTGTCGCCTGATGAGGCTGGTTGTATTTACCGGCGAAATATCGTACTCGAATTGTAAATGCTGTGGGTTTACTCTCCCAACACACCGGTGTGCTGAACTAGTAACTAAACACCTTGTTTTGTATACGTGACAAACCTTACTAATTGGCTGTGTCCGTGTGGTGGTGGGTTTAACGACACAGTTACAGTATATTTAGGCGATCTAATTAAAAAAACTCATTAATTGGCTAAAATATATTTATAAAATAGAAACGGAATGCGGCAAAACGATACCTACGATTGGGTGGTGCCCCCCTGGATGAATGAAACCCTGACCGCGCGTGGCTGTCGGCACCAGCGGCTTCCACCCGCTGGTGTGCGCAGGGTGTGGTGCGTCGCTGGGCAGTGTCTTGCTGCCCACTGGCCGGGCCCTGTCTACCTGCGCGGCCTCTACTGCCTGTGGTGCGCCAGCACCAGCAGGTGCCACCGCGGGGCCTAGGCCTCTCCCTCAGCTGCCAGCCACCGGCTTGCCTTGGGAGGCCACCTGGCCCTGTTGCCATCTGTCCAGGTTCCGCCATATCTGGGTTGTCACCTGTCCGGACTGTCACCTGTCCGGACTGCCACTTGTCCCGGTTGCCACCTCACCTTGTTGCAATCTGTCCAGATTGCTCCATCTCCGGGTTGCCACCTGTTCCAGTTGCTTCTTGTTTGGGTTGCCACCTGTCCCTGTTGCCACCTGTCCCGGTTGCCACCTGTCCTGTTTGTCCTCTGTTCGGTTTAACCCGGGACAGTGGGAATTGGCATCTGTGTTTTATGTTACGCGGCAGGAATTGGAACTTTGTTGCAGAAGACTGAGTAGCACATTTGAAGGCTGGCACAGCGCACCAGGGGGTGGGTGGCCAGTAACAACGCCCGGCCGCCTTTGTCTCCCCAGTGCTGATGTTTTTTACACACCACACCAGCTCCTCATTAGAGGCTGAGTCGACCTAGGGGAGGCCCAGGACTGGTTAATATATTCACCATCACTCCTATTAGTCATGGGCAGGAATCAAACTCGGGTATCTGCAGAGTTCTTAGCGCAGCACACTAACCGCTGCACCACCACTCCTTCTACAACAACAGCCACCATTCTCCACTAAGTGACGGTGACTTCACCATGGTGCTTATACCAGGCTAGGTGCAGGAGTTTGCGAGGCAGACCCAGGTGCCATTGGTTGACCGACTGAGATGACTGCAGATGCACTACCTGTGCTCCCCACTGTGCAAACTCACTGTGAGCATCACTCCTCGGCCCTCCGCTGTTGTTGGGAGACTGCCTCCAACCGCCTAGGAGCATCCTCCATGAGCCACCTCCATAGAGGCCGATCTTGACACTGCTGGTACTGCTGGTCTTTGGCAAGTCCACTCAGCTCCTGTGCCGCGTCAGTCCATCCCCTATGTGGCCTGTGACGTCTCTGTTAAGCCCTCTCCATCCAGCGAGACAGAAGGCTGGGCGTGTGGGCTACGTGATTCAGCCAACGCAGCTTCACCTGCCGAAGGAGGTCACCGATGGGACTGTGTACACATCATTTAAGTATTTGTGTGCTCCTCACATAATCCAGTCTGGTTAAACCTAGCATGGTTCGTGGGTAGGCCAGCCTGAATCTTTCTGAATGGCCGTGGCGCTGCGGTTTGCACGCTACGTAAGGAACCCAGCAAAAGAGCTCAGTTCCATTCCTGCTTACAACCAATACGAGTGATGGTGAATATTTGAGCCGGTCCTGGACTCAGCCTCTAATGAGTAGCTGGTGCAGTGTGTAAAAAACATCAGCAGCTGGGGAGACAAAGGCGGCCAGGCGGGTTGCTGACGAAATCTCATGCCATGAAAGTTTGTCCAGGCTATTTGGGGGACTTTTGTCTTCGTAGTTACGTGCCAGGTGACCGTGGCATCGTGGAGACCGCATCACTCTCACTGCAGCGGCCACGGGAGCTCTCGGTGTGCATGCGTGAGGTGAGTGTGTGTGAGGTGTGTGTGTGTGAGGTGAGTGGGTAAGGTGGGTGAGTGGGTGAGGTGAGTGTGTGTGTGAGGTGAGTGTGAGTGAGGTGAGTGGGTGAGGTGAGTGTGTGTGTGAGGTGAGTGTGTGTGACGTGAGTGTGTGTGAGGTGAGTGTGTGTGAGGGGTGTGTGAGGTGAGTGTGTGTGAGGTGAGTGTGAGTGTGGTTGAGTGTGTATGAGGTGAGTGTGGGTGAGGTGAGTGGGTGAGGTGAGGTGAGTGTGTGAGGTGAGTGTGTGTGTGAGGTGAGTGTGTGAGGGAGTGTGTGTGAGGTGAGTGTGTGTATGAGGTGAGTGTGTGAGGGAGTGTGTGTGAGGTGAGTGTGTGTGTGAGGTGAGTGTGGGTGAGGTGAGTGGGTGAGGTGAGGTGAGTGTGTGAGGTGAGTGTGTGTGTGTGTGAGGGGAGTGTGTGAGGGAGTGTGTGTGAGGTGAGTGTGTGTGTGAGGTGAGTGTGTGTGAGGTGAGTGGGTGAGGTGAGGGGAGTGTACGTGAGGTGAGTGTGAGGTGAATGTACGTGAGCTGAGTGTGTGTGAGGTGACTGTGTGTGTGTGTGTGAGGTGAGTGTGTGTGTGTGAGGTGAGTGTGTGTGAGGTGAGTGTGTGTGTGAGGTGAGTGTGTGTGAGGTGAGTATGTGTGAGGTGAGTGTGAGGTGAGTGGGTGAGGTGAGGTGAGTATACGTGAGGTGAGTGTGAGGTGCGTGTGAGGTGAGTGTACGTGAGGTGAGTATGAGGTGAGTGTACATGAGCTGAGTGTGTGTGAGGTGACTGTGTGTGTGTGAGGTGAGTGTGTGTGTGAGGTGAGTGTGTGTGAGGTGAGTGGGTGAGGTGAGGGTAGTGTACGTGAGGTGAGTGTGAGGTGAATGTACGTGAACTGAGTGTGTGTGAGGTGACTGTGTGTGTGTGTGAGGTGAGTGTGTGTGAGGTGAGTGTGTGTGTGAGGTGAGTGTGTGTGTGTGAGGTGAGTGTGTGTGAGGTGAGTATGTGTGAGGTGAGTGTGAGGTGAGTGGGTGAGGTGAGGTGAGTATACGTGAGGTGAGTGTGAGGTTCGTGTGAGGTGAGTGTACGTGAGGTGAGTATGAGGTGAGTGTACATGAGCTGAGGGTGTGTGAGGTGTGTGTGTGTGAGGTGACTGTGTGTGTGTGAGGTGAGTAAGTGTGTGTGAGGTGAGTGTGTGTGTGAGATGAGTGTGGGTGAGGTGAGTGTGTGTGAGGTGAGTGAGTGTGCGTGAGGTGAGTGTGTGAGGTGAGTGTGTGAGGTGTGTGTGAGGTGAATGTGAGTAGTGGGTGAGATGAGTGGGTTAGGTGAGGTGAGTATACGTGAGGTGAGTGTGTGTGTGTGTGAGCGGAGTGTGTGT